GATAAGTAGATTTGGGAAAAGTCATGATGTTGCACGAGTTTGGTTAATACCTGTACACATTCAGGTCCTTTGAAAGTTCCAGCTATCTTTGTTCATTTGTGATAAATCTTCTGGTTCTGCCCATTTAATGAACTTCTGGCAGTGGACGATTTCGTTGGCGCTCGGTTCACTATCGTGCCTATTCAACCGAGATCAGATGAAGTTTTTTGGCTTCAAAATTTTCAGCTTAACTGACTGGATTGTATAGCGTAGCCAAAGATGTATTTGTGTCGTGGATTACTCCTGTTTATCAAAGTAAGCGATTTGTACACTCAAAAGTCCGACGGTTTACGTAGTTCTCATGAAAAGTTTATTCTACCTTCCCTTCTCACACACTCACCAAGGAATCACGCAATTGCGCAAGTATATTCACTCGCAACACGTCGTTGCAAAACCTCAAGCACCGTTGGCTTCTGTAGCCAGTACCAGTTTACTTTCCACTCCGAGTCAAACCAATTTATGTGCTTCCACTGCTGGGACCTTGCGTTCGGTTAACCGACACTATCTAGTCGGTCTATTGGCCCAGGCCCTGTCATCAACTTACCTCGGGTTGTTGGTTTATGCACTACACACCCGAGATGCATGTGTACTGTATCGGTTAGCTTCTGCCCGTTTGGATAGTGCCACTTGGGGCAAAGTGTTCGGTGGGACGTATCGTGCGAAACCCACACGTCCTAGTGCACCACCTGCTCCAGCTGGTTCCACGGCTCCTGGGTTGCCTCGACCACCCCGGCCAGAGAGGTAATCAATCCTGATTGCACATTTTAATAATTTCATCCATAACAATCGTGATTTGAGGATGACTTTTTTGCCAATTTGACTTATTGGTCTTATTTCTTCACATTGGTTTGTTATTATTGTTATTTATGTTCGGCTCATTGTTGAATCCGACTCCTTTGGCCAGTTCGAATCAAGGTTTCATTTTTTCAAATGGATGCCTCGGTGACCTAGAAAGAGCTTCTTGTTTCGTCCGCATACTTCACGTCGCTGTAAAAAATGCCATGAACTATAAGCTTTGTGGGTTGGTGCTATCGCATCGCAAAACGCTGATGTGACCTGATAAGTGTGATCCTTGTGCCAATGAAACATTCTCTCTGACTCTTAATGGATAAACCGCACTCCAAAAGCTGTGAATGGTTATCGCACTTTTTCTTAGTTATCATTGTCGTTATTCCCAAATACGTTCTGTGCATCATTTATTCACTGTTCACTGTATCCGTACAATAAAATAAGAAAACCCCTGTTGAATCTAACTCACATTTATACTACACCGATGAACATAGTAACTGTTTATTAGAAAAAAACTGAACGACTAACTCCTTGTGGTTTCCCGGTCCTCCTGTCTGAAGCGCATCGACAGTTTTTGTGTAGTTTGAGCATAGAATATACCAAGTGATTGTTTTTTAACTATTGTCTTTGGTGCATTACATTTGTCTGATTAGAGCAGCATTCCTAGATTCCAGTGTCCATTACCAATGTTTTAATTTTAATCGCCGAAGAATATGGGACTGATTCTCGTGCATGAAGTTACATACAATGTTAATAGCACCGTCTAGCCTTTGCATGCGAGATTGCACGTCTGATCTTTACGTGTTCAAGTATAACTCCCAGGGCAAAAGGATCATTCCAGCCTGAGGTCATCGGTTGGGTTCATTCGCCACGTCTCCAGAATCTTGAGGTGTTTTATGGTTCGAACGTTTTTGAATTTAAAACACACATCGACCTCGGATACTAAATTTGCTTGTCTGCAACCGCGTTTCTCAAGCCTAGCAGCCGATTAGTTAGTTATCTTAGTCGGAACATGCGGCTGCGTCAGGCTACAAACAACTGCCCGTGCAACGTGTTCTTTTTAGGATCGCGGTAACCCCGACTAATCTCGATTGAACTGCAAGCATGTTTCTGTTTCTTTTACACGAACTTAATTGCTAACCCCTCTTATATAGTCTCGGGAAGGTGTGACTGCAAATATCAGTTGACCTATTTTATTTGCACAGTTATATTTTGCTACAAAAGTTTTTTCTTTGTATTACTTTTCAAGGCCCACGCCAATTTTGCGAGCCCCTCCTGGGACTAATCAAAAAGAAAAGAATACTGAACCTGCGCCAGCCTCTCTCGGTGAGTATTTCAGTCATTAGATTGAAAAATTCTAGTTACCCAACCAGCGGCAAGTACAAATAGCTCTTTGATTTGTGCTCTTCTTTGTGCCCTATGTGCTCCATTTCACCAGATCTTGAATATATAAATTCAGTTGTGTGATTGTTCCTTTTTACTTGTTCTTTGTATCATTCAGCCAAAGTTAATAAAAAATCACACCAACTCACTTGGATTGATTTATCGTTTCACTGACCGGTGGTACCTGACAGATAGTTTTCTGTCTCCATCATAGAGCTTTTGCATTGTTCTTCAAGTATTTAAGCTTATCCCTAAGGGTACTTTTATCAACTTACCGTTTTCATTCGAGCAGTCACTTTAAGTGCAAATGTTTCCGATTGGTGTAGTTTAATCATCTCATCCGATGTCTGTTGAGTATCGTTACGTAAATGGTTTATCGTTGAAATACCTGATTTGTCAAATTTGCCTTGTAATTGTACCAACGTTGCCTTGTCATCCGTCCAACCTGCAGAGATATATTGAATCTCTTCAGTGGAATGAATTGTTGACTTACTCACCCGGCACAAAATTCATTTTTCAGAGATAAGAACTCTTAGAACCGCTATTTCTCTTATAACAAATGCACAGAAGATATGTATTTAGCCCATCACTCTGTTTATTACATTTCTTTGATCCATGATATTCAGTTGACCGTTTGATTTTATTTCATTAATATAGTGATTTTATACATCCTAAGTATGCTGTACCCGAACCAGTTGCTAATAACTTCTGTGTCTTATTTGTATCTTGTTCAAAAGACCTACTGTAATAAACGTCCATAGCATGCGATGATTTGTTCTCAAACCTTCCATATCGGAGACCTCCGCGAATGAATTTCATTGGAAAATTTTATTTTATTTCACACATACGTCAGAGTCCAGATTGCATGTCAAACTATTCACTGTACTGTGATCTTTGTAAATAAAAAAACAAAGTGCCATGATTTGCCTGTAGACGGAATACTGTCAGGTTTCCCGGGCCAAGACTGATGAATTTTATTGGCGAATTCAGATACGGAGCCTCCGGCTAATCAAAGTCTGACCCGCAGGGAGGTGTGGGAAGACCGCATTCCATTGGGAACCGATGTCCTGTTCATAGGATCATACGTCCTTTGAACGGGGTCAGATGTCCAAGGTGCCCAATTGAGCCAGTGACCACTGTCACAACCAGGAAGGTGTGGATGTTTGCGGCCTCGTACGCCTCTTCTTGGTTAGTTTGGAGTCAGGGATTTTGGCAACTACCCTAGGTGCACTGCTAGTGGGTTATCGACTCTGTTATATTCTCGGATGTTGGACTTTCGTCCTCTCAGTTTGGTCTGAAAACACCTCCATTACGGGAAGACAGTGCGTAGGGCTTCCTCAGCAGTGATTGTTTGATACGCTGTATCGTTAGGGCGCATTTCGCGGGGTGAAAAGTAAGTGTGACTAGTCAACCTCGAGACGCCCACCCCCGACCATGCTGAGGCTTTTGGGGCTCATTTAGAAAGTAAAATAGTGAAGCCAGAACTATTTGAAAGCTTCCGTCGGTTTTGATTTCCTAAAAAGTCGGTCCTTGGAGAAAATTTAAGAGCTAGTTTAGGGAATAGGGTTCGTTTCTTTTCGTGTAACCGCTTGTGGAGTTTATGGTAAAAGTTGAATAGTTGTGAACATGAATAGTGACTATTTCCTGTAGTGTAGGAATATTAAGTTTCACCACATGCAACGATCCTCTTCTGGTGTTTCATTGTGTTATAAAGCTTTTCAACAAGCACCGAACCCTATTTTGTGACTGTCTAATCCTACAGCACCTTTCATACCGTTGAAATTTGTAATTATTGGTAAAGCGGTTTGAGTTGCCGTCACTGATTTGC